ATTCAATGTTTTGACTGGTTACTTTTAATTGTGAAGTGCAGCAAAACAGTTAAGGGTTAATCTGAAGAGAGACTTGAGGTTGGCGTTTTTTGTTTTTGTTTTTGTTTTTTTTTTTTTGACAGGCAAAGTTAGAGAGTGAGTGAGAGAGAGACAGAGAGAAAGGTCTTCCTTCTGTTGGTTCACTCCCCAAATGGCCGCTACGGCTGGCACGTTGTGCCGATCCAAAGCCAGGAGCCAGGTGCTTCCTTCTGGTCTCCCATGTGGGTGCAGGGCCCAAGCACTTGGGCCATCCTCCACTGCCTTCCCGGGCCAGAGCAGAGAGCTAGACTGGAAGAGTAGCAACCAGGACAGAATCTGGCGCCCCAACCGGGACTAGAACTTGGGGTGCCGGCGCCGCAGGCGGAGGATTAGCCCAGTGAGCCACGGCACTGGCCGAGACTTGAGTTTAAAACCTGGGTCTGCCACTTACTAGCTATGACAACACAGGAAGTCATTTAATCATTCCATATACCATTTCTTTACTTGCAAAATAAGATACTAGTAGTATTATCAAAAGGCGAATGTGAAATTTAAATGAGATGATGTACAAGATGTTCATCACAGCCCACATGTAGAAAAGGCACAACAAATATTAGTAGTCACCATTCCTGTGAGTTCAGCCTTCCACTACAGCCTCCAGCTGCCATGCAACTGTTTACACTTTCTCAACACTTCTGTGTTCTAATAATCATATGCAGTCTATTTTACTGAGATTAAAGCCAGAATCAGAATGATCAGATGCAAAGCACAGGCATTCTCCATTCTCCACAGTCTTCTCTGAAGGAAAGATGTTTTGGCTCTATCAACAAAAGCAGTGAAGAACACGAAGAACATACTATGGGCACAACTCTCACTTTTCAGCACCTGGTTGACATGAGGTTGATGAACTGCTTACCTGTGCTTTGCCTACTTTGCTCTCCCTCAAAACTTCACCTGAACACAATATTTCAGACCACACAATTAGGAATTTCTATTAAATTTGTTCCAAAGAAATTATACTATCTTTACAAATGACATGTCCAAATACATTTCTTTATATCTGCAGATGGCTTAAGTATGGCTGTTTTGTTGTGTGGCATATAAGTAAATGGATTCACAAAACCTATATCAACTATATGCCTTTCTTAAAGAAACAGTTTTCAAGTAAAAACTGCAGTTCTAAGTATTTTCTTTAAAAACATGACATTTGCAAAAGCCAAGTTTGAAATCCACTTCTCCACTTTTAGTCTTACTGCTTTCTCTTTGCTACAGGAATCAAAATCTAATGGTAAAATTTGTAAGTATTCCTTTTTTTTTTTTAAGATTTATTTGAAAGTCAGATTTGGGGGTGGTGGTGGAGGGAAAGAGAGAATCTTCCATCCACTGATTTACTCCTCAAATGGCCAGGAACCAGGAGCTTCATCCAAGTCTCCCACGTAGGTGCAGGGGCCCAGACACCTGGGCCATCCTCCGCTAATTTCCCAGGCACATTAGCAGGGAGCTGGATCAGAAGTGCAGCAGCTGAGACGTGAACCAGGGCCTATACGGGTGGGGCAGACAGCAGCTTAACCCACTGCACCACAGCAGTTTTTTAAAATAAGTGATAAATCTTATCCACTGCCAATCCTTCTCACTTAATGAGAACAGACATTAAGAACAAATACTTCATTTTAAAAAGCTAATTTGGATTGGGTTTCTTTCAAGTATAATTTTAAAACCTTATTTTGACTTTTGAATCATAAGATTCAAAATATATTACATATTAATATGATCATAAAGATGAAACCAATGAACCATATAAAATTGTCAATTTAACCAGAAGAGTATTTCAGGTGATTTCTAAGCTTAGTACTCTGATTATCATCCTTTCAAACAATATATTCTAGGGACAAAAATAAGTGTAAAGAAATATTAAACTTTGTTCAGAAGTTTCTGATAGTAATACTTGAACTTTCAAGATGATTTTATGTATATACAAGTGAATTAATTTTATTAGGTAGTAAGATTTTGGGACAAATATTTAATCAAATACAATTTAATCAAATACAATTCAAATAAATTTGAATTGGATATATCACTACAAACTCATGATTAAACAAAAAGATGTTTACTGTTCTCTCTTCAAAGCTCCTAGAAGCAAGGACACCACAGCAGCAATGAATATGCCAAATATCCAGATTTTGGTTTCTATATACCATTTCTCAGTACGAAGAACCAAGCCCCCTTGAAATAACTGCCCTCTCTAGGCGTAGAGCAAAGCACAAGGCCAGGGTCATCAATGGGTGCCAAAAATCTCTAAGCAAAAGGTATTCAGAAGGGCTGGCAATGGGGTGCAGATGGTTAAGCTGCCGACCACAATGCCGGCATCACACACAGGCAGGGCTGCTCTACTTCCTATCCAACTCCCTGCTAATGTGCCTAGGAAAGCAGCTAAAGATGGCCGAGTGCTTGGGCCCCCGTCACCTACGTGGGAGACATGGATGGAATTCCAGGCTCCTGGCTTTGGCCCAGGTCACTTCAGCCACTGGGGAGTAGACCATAAGATTTTCTCTCCATCTCTAACTCTTTGAAAGAAATACATCTTGTTTTAAAGGTACTTGGAAACTTGGTGTCAAAGTATTTGCTTGCTGTCAAAGTATTATCCCAGGTATTATACAGGAAATGCAAACAGACAAACACATCTTTATAAGCGATCCAGCAGCCACTGCTTTAATCAAGTGGTGGTCACATTTAGCACCGTTAAGCATGGCAATCTAGCACCATACACTTCCTATATGTGATATGAGGTACACAGCATCACCTATTAAATATTCTTGCCACAGAAAGTCACATATTAAGCTAATCAAACCCTTGGTCAGACCTAACTTCCAGTTAGGGAAGGGGGGGGGTAATTAAGTGAAATTGACACTAGGACACAGACAACTCCAAGAGGTGGGTGTACTCTGTAATACAACTGGTTTGGTCAAATAGGTATCAGAAAAATAGTAGGGAGAATGGGTACTTTTTTTTTTTTTTAACAAAAGGGACTAAAGAATCACCCAATGCAACGCACGAATCCTTACTAATTGCAGCTTAACGAGGGGTGTGAGAACCACCAGAAACACTTCAGAACAATCGAGGAAACGTGAATCTAGACCGGAATTTTGATAGGTATTGATGCTACTGGGTTAAAAGAAGATCCTGATTGTTAGGAAATGTATACTGATATACCTGAGGGTGGTAGTGCTGCAACTTACTTTCAAAAGGATACACACAGAGAGAGAAAGAGAGAGGAACAATACTGCAAAATTGTTCATTGTTGAGTTTTGGTGTGGAGGGGGTATACATTGTATTTTTTCCCCCTGAAGTTCTATAGACTGAAACTTCTCCTAATAAAGTTTTTTAACAAAACCAGCACATCCATTAAGAAGTACAGTATAAAGTACATTTAAAGGCAATTTTCTCTAAGGCAGGTTAATATTTCTAAGTTAGTTTCATCTATAAAATTAGAGAAACAGTATCTGTGTCATTGGATTGTTCTGATACTAAGACTACATATGTATACAAGGCCTAGCAGTGTTGCACAAAATAAGCAAACCTGTTTTTCATAATTCATGTAATCACCCTAAAATACAAGACTAAAGGGAAACAGTCATGATCTTCACATCCAGCAAGAGATAAAAATTAAATACAGTCAGTCCACTGGAAGTCAGAGCCAAGTGGACAGGGAAATTGAGGACTTACACATATTTCCAAATCCAAGAACCCCAATCGAAACCCTAAACAAAAGGACATCAATCTTGACCAATCCAAACTCTGGCATCTATCAAATCGCGTAGGCTGCTCATGGCATTAGACTATCTCCCAATACACACTAAGAATATGAGTGGAAGTTAAAGAGACTCTTGTCCTGACCTAACAGATAATCTCCTGGATGCAATAAAAAAGAAATTAAGTTTCTGTCTCCATTTCTGTAAGTTACAATAAAGAACTCGATATTGGGGTCTCATTCTCAACGCTGGTTAAGGCTCCTAGCACTCGCACGGCTGCAATTTCCTTTCACCCGTTCTAAGGTACTTCTCATTTCACTCACTGAGAAGCCCTTTTTCTGGCTAGGCCGGCAGTCAAAAGAGTAGATGTCCAGAGACCGCCCCCCAAGGTGAGGAAGAAAAAAATTTTTTTTTTTTTAAATAAGTGCCATCTTTTCTTTCCAGGACCAAAGAAAAAGCAGCAGGAAAAAGGCGGCTAAAAAAAAAAAAATCAGAAACCAAAAACAGGTCTCGGGCTCGCCGGGCGCACCAGGTGAGAAGAGGGGGGTCCCACCTGCGCCTGCTTCGGGGCGATGGGCGTGCAGCAGGCGCGGGGCACCCCGAAAGCCTGGGGGGCTGCGCGGCCCCCAGAACGCCACTCTGAGAGGGACGCTGTGGGGTGTCGCCCGGCGCGGACGGGGGTGACAGACCAGGCGCCCCTCTCGCGTCAGCGGCCAGGTGGCGGGCGCTCCCGGGCGCGCGGGCGGCGGCCGCGTCCCCCCGCTCGGCCTCCCCTCCCCATTACTGCTAGCGCGGACGCGAGGACCCGGAAGCTGCTGCTGCTCCTCCTCCTCCCCGCCAGGCTGAGGCGGCGAGGTGGTGGCGGCGACAGCGGCGGCGGCGGCGGCGGCGGCGACAGCCCGGGGGGAGGGGCGGAGCGCCCGGCTCTCGCTCCCTCTCCTCCCCCGGGAGCTCAGGGGACCCTATCTCGGGCCGCCGCGCCTAGGCCCGTGAGCAGCCTGGGGCTGGGGCATGGCGGCCCAGCCCACCGGCGCGCCTGGGAGGTGCAGGAGGGCCGGCGGCGGGGAGGAAGGCGCCCCCGGCGCTCGGAGGGGGCCGAGGGGAGGAGCAAAGGGGCGCGGGAGCCGCGCGCGGGCGGCCGTTGGGGGCGGTTGGCCGCGGGCAGGCGGCGGTTTGCGGAGCGCTGCGGCCGCTCGCGTGTTCCCGGCGGGGCGGGGTGGGGAAGGGGAAGGGGAGTGAGGGGAGGGGAGGGGGAGGCTGGGAGGGAGCCGCCGCCGCACGCGTGCGGGCCGCCGCCGTGGCCGCTCCTCTCACTCCAGCCTGTTTGGGGGGCACTTTGTTTGTGTCCCACAGTGCTCTGCGCGCAGAGCCGGGTTGGGGGAAAGGGAGGGGAAAGTGGGCGGTGCTACCTGGGGGCGGGGCCCAGAGTGGGGGGGGGAACGCGGCTGGTGCGCAAGCGCAGAGAAGACCCTTCTGGTGGTAGGGATTTGAACTGGAGGCGACTGGGTCTCGATGTGGGGTGCGAGGGCGCCCGCGTGACGCAGACGCCGCCGGGCCTGGACACCGGGTATTTCTCCTCATGTGCACACACGTGCGGGTTCATAATCCGTATTCTCCCTGAGCCCTGTCCGATCTGCCGTCCGCCTACCCTGAGAGCCTGTTTTCCCTCAGCTCTCACACTTCTCGCATTTTACGGAAGAAACTCCGATTTTTTTTTTTTTTTTTGAGTGGTTTCTAGAGCAAGGCCGAAACCGAAACATCCCAAGTGCGCTCTCAGCGAGGGAGCGTGGGTTGGTCGCGTCCCCATTTTTCGCGCGTGGAGACTGAGGCCTGCCAGAGGGGCGGCCCCGTCGACAGGTGCGGGGCGCGCGGAACCAGGCGTTCTCCCGCGCCCACCGCCCCCGGCTCTGCCATTCTCCACGGCGGGAAGGGGCTTCTCGCATTTTCCAGGGCGACGTGGCCTAGAGAAATCGGCTCCCCGAGCGCCTCCTGCTCCCACCGCCGCCCCCCACCCCGCCCCCCTGCACCCCCCAGCCCCCCCTCCCCACCTGCGGCTCCAAAATCTATACCTATTCCTGGGACCACCGAGAATGGTGGACTCCCCCCTCGCTTGGCTGCCAGGGCCTTCCGGGGAGGGAGCCTGCCGGCCACCCGGAAGTGACCGGTACTGTCTGGGGGGTGTTGGAGCTGCAGGTCAGCGGCGGAATCGGTCGTACAAAGTGCAAGGGCGCAGGACCCGAGCGCTGCCTCCCGCCGCCGGGCTGGCCTGCGGGGCGCCCCGGGCGGCTGCAGGTGGGGCGCCCCGGGCGGTCTGCCTTGGCTGACTTGGTTTTCCCACACCTCCAAGCTTTAGCACAGAAGGGCTTTTTTTTCCAAAGGGCTTTGTGCAAGGTGGCGACGCTGACGTCCCAACGAAGCCCGGTGGATTTTTTTTTTTTCCTTCCGAAACACTTGGCAACGTCTCCCATTAATCCTCTCCCGGAGCTTGGGCGAGCAGCCAAGCACCCGAATTCCGACAACTGACATCTACTTGAGAAGTGAACGCAATCAAAACGACTTGTTTGTATAGTCCGTGGTCGTTTCCAACAAGTTATTCTGTAATGTTAGTTGGTCCTCGCAGCACCTGGAATCTCTAGGCGTCTGTTGTTATTACCACTTTTTTTTTTTTTTTAATTATTCCCATTTTGGAGTTGAGGAAAGACAGACGTAAAACTAAACAGTTTTGTGCTGAGGTTTGAAGACCAGGAAACGCAGGCGTAGTGCCCCGGTGGGGCTCCCGCAGGTGCCTGGGGGAGGGGGGGCACCCCGGGGTGGTGGAGGGGTGAATGTTTGCACAGGCTGAACAACTGGAGAACAATCAGGGTGCTAATAAGGTAGTCAAAATAAACCCAGTCCACCTTGCCTGGGGCATTTAATAGGCCAGTCAACAAAAGCCCATTAGGCAAGTATTTACCAAGTGTTTCTCAAGGTGGCAGGTGCCTTTCAAGGCAAGAGTGGCAGCTGGCACAAAAACTTAAAATTTTCCTTGGAGGATTCTTCTCCGGTATCATCTCCTTGTCCCTCCCTTTTGTGCTTTGTTTTTTGTTTTTCTTTTTCATTCTCCATTTAGACTGTTTGCTCCTTGTCTCCCCACCCCCAGGCTGTTGGGCCCTCTTGGGGCCAGTGCTGGGTGCTTGAAGAGGGTGTGAGAAAGAAGTCCTCTCCTCTGCTTGGCTTGGGCAAGGTCAGTTTCTGTGGCTTCTGCAGCCTCCCACCTTTTTTTCTTCCTGAGCTAGTAGGGACTTGTCTTTGGGTTGCTGGAACACAGACACCTCTCTTTGACACTGGGTTAAATAACACTGCTGGGTGGATTTTGTGAAATCAGAATCCTGCACATAGGTGAAGCAAACAAACGTAGACAACATGAGGAACCTTTAATTATTAACTCAGGCTGGGTGATTCTGAGGCATTCAAATTCCAGGATTTTTGTTTTCTCAGCCGTGAGCTGTTTTGGGGACCAAATTCTAGAAAAAAAATGACCTTTTCCTATGGTAAATCATTAGTGCTAAATAGGACCCGAGTTATTTAGCCCAAAACATACTGTAGAGCAAGAATGCTTTCCTCAGAAAGATCTCTAGTCTGACTTGAACAATTCCAATGAGGAGAGCCCGAGCTGCACAAGTCACCCTGGTTTCTTATTAGATTATTCTAAACACATTTTAAAAAGTATTGTTGGGGGGGCAGTACTGTGGCATAGTGGATAATCACATATGGACGCCAGTTCGAATCCTGGCTTCTCCACTTCCCATCCAGCTCCCTGCTAAAGTGTCTGGGAAAGGAGTGGGGGATGGTCCAAGTGCTTGGGCCCCTGCCACCCACATGGGAGACCTGTAGGAAGCTCCTGGCTTCCGTTTGGCCTAGCTTCTGCCTTTAGGGCCATTTGGGAAGTGAAGCAGTGGATGGAAGCACTCTCTCTCTCCTGCTCCCTCCCTCCCCATAACTCTTTAAAAAACTAATGTCGCTCCCTCACCCCAAAACCTGCAGCTCTTCTTCAGTTCCCATTTCACCATCCACGCGGTTGAGCAAGCCGACTTTGCTGCTTTACCATTGTGCTGCATCTCAATCCCTGGCCATCCGCAAATCATTCCCATCCTCCGCCCCCTAAAACAAGAGGATCACTTGTCTGGAGAACTGGAATACCACTTACCTCGTTTCCCAAACATATTCTACCTTCTCCTCCTTCCCTGTGGGACATTCAGAGCTGTAAGGCGTAGTGATCATATCACCCAGCTCAGGCTTCTGATGGTTCTGAAGTCTCAAACACTGTAGCCTGGCTTTTACAACCCTGGACATTCCAGGCCTTTTTCAAAATCTTTCAGTTTCAATTCTCACTATACAACTTCAAGGAAACACCAGTTGCAGGTGGGTTTCCCTATCCCTAAAATGCCATGCCCAGGGTCAGTGTTTAGTGCTGTGGTTGACACTGCTTGGGACACCTGTATAACATATTAGAGTGCCTGGGTTTGAGCCCTGGTTTTGCTTCCGATCCAGCTTTCTGCTACCGTGTACCCTGGGGGGCAGCAGGTAAGTACTTTGGTCCCTGCCTCGTGGTAGATCTGGATTGAGTTTCTTGCTCCTGGCTTCAGCCAGGCCCAGTACTGACTATTGGAGGCATTTGGGGGGTAAATCAGTGTCTGTCTGTATCTCTCTGCCTTTCAAATAAAATGAAAATAAATAAAAAATATTAAAACCTCATGCTCTTTCCTCTACTGCAGAGTATCCCCTCTGTGTAGAAATGTTCCATCCCTTGACTAATTTCCTCTCTGTCTTTAGATCTTTTCTTTTACACACACTCACACACATACACACACAAGGGTACTTCAAAAAGCTGGTGGAAAATGTAATTAAAAGATAAATTTATTTTGACACAAAAAAGTTTTGAAATCCACACAAACCAGGAGCCTTCAAAATGTTCATGAAAAATATGTATTATGAAGACGGTATGCTTGGATTTCAACTTTCTGGACACTAAAATAAACTTATCTTTTAATTCCATTTTCCATGAACTGTGCATGTGTGTGTGTGTGTATGTATGTATACATATGCCAACTTTACTGAGATATAATTTAGATACCATAAAATTCACCATTTAAGACATACAATTTGGTGGTTTTTAATATGTTCACAGAGTTGTGTAACTATCACCAAGATCAGTCTTTTTAAAACATTTTCATCATCCCAGCAACCCATACCCAATAGCAGTCACTCCCCATTTCTCCCTAACTTTTCAGCAGTAGGCAACCCCTAACCCATCTGCTTTCTGTCTGTACAGACTTGAAGTATGATATTTTACAATTTGTTTCCATGAGGAGCTGTTTTAGTGTTTGATTGCATCTTTCATTTCAGTCCTCTGCAATTTCTCACACATTAAAATTAAATATTTCATTTTAGTTGCAAGGCAGAGAGAGAGAGAAAGATGTTCAAAGACAAGCGGACAGAGATCTTCCATCTGCTGATTCACTCCCCAAATGTGTATCACAGCTGGAACTAGGCCAGGCAAAAGCCAGGAGCCTAGAACCCAAAACAGGTCTCCCATGTGGATGAAAGGGACTAAATACTTGAGCCCTCATCTGCTGCTTCCCAGGGTGTGCATTAGCAGCAAGCTGGAATGTGAAGCAGAGCTGGGGCTCAAACCCAGGCATTTTGAGGTGAGATGAGCATCTTAACTGCTATACCAAATGCCTACCCCTTCCCTTGTATTTTTATCCCCCAGAAACCTTTTATTTAAGGAATACAAACTTCATGTATTTCATAAATACAACTTTAGGAACATAGTGATTCTTCCCACCGTATCTCCTGCATTTTTAAAGTACATTTTGAAAAAGATTTATTTCATTTATTTGAAAGGCAGAATAATACACACACACACACACACACACACACACACACATAGATCTTCCATTCACTGCTTCACTCTCCAAATGGCCAGGGCTGGGCGAGACTGAAGCCAGGAGCCAGGAGCTTCTCTGGGTTTCCCATGTGGGTGCAGGAGCCCAAGGACTTGGGCCATCTTCTGCTGCTTTCCCAGGCCACAGCAGGGAGCTGGATTGGAAGTGGAGCAGCTTGGACTCCAACTGGTGCCCACTTGGGATGCTGGTGTCTCAGTGGGTGGCTTTTCCCTGCTAAGCCACAGCGCAGGCCCCTTCTGCATTTTTTAAAGGGCTAGATTGTCTGTCTTTAGTGTTTGCCATCATCTAGGTTTCATCTGTTGCTTCACTGTGGTCTGTTTAACCCCTTCCCTTGTCCTGTGCATTTTCTGAAAATTGACCATAGGATTAGATGTTTTATCAGATCAAGTTTAATTTTTGGCAAGATTGCATGATAGGTGACAGCGTACTCTCCTTTTAGGAGACACACAGTGTGGGATTTTGATATTAGCAGCCACTGATGAGTAATGCCTGGATCAGTTCATTCATTAGTTTCAAAATGATGAAAGAATTCTGTCATTCTTCATTCACTAGTTACAATGTTTCTACAAAGATCTTCCCCTTTCAGTGATTCCATCACCTAGTGGTAAAGCTTTCATAAAAAAGAAAAAATGTTTTATTTTCTTCGTTTGATCAAGTTGTCTCCTATCGCTGTCCACGTCTCTCGTGTTCATCTATGAATATCCTGATCTGAAGCCATCAACCTGACTCCTAAGCCCTTCAGTCTTCAGGAGCCTCCTCGTCGTGCAAGATCCTGCATGACTGGGGCCTTCCAGCCTCACTCCAGGCCACGGTCCTTGTGCTGCACCACATACAAGGCCATTCTGGCCTAGTGTCATTTCCTGAGTCACCCAGGTCTTTCTCATATCAGGGCCATTGCACATGTGCCCTCTAACTGGAAAGGTTTCTCCACCTCCTCTCTTTCCCCTAACTCAACTGGTGTTTTATTTATTTATTTATTTATTTTTATTTTTTTATTTAGTAAATATGTTTCCAAAGTACAGTTTATGGATTACATGGCTTTCCCACTCGCACCCCTCCCATCTCCCGCTCCCTCTCCCATTCCATTCACAACAAGATTCATTTTCAATTATCTTTATATACAGAAGATCGATTTAATATATATTAAGTAAAGATTTCATCAGTTTGCACCCACACAGAAACACAAAGTGTAAAATACTGTTTCAGTAATAGTTATAGGATTACTTCACATTGGCCAACACATTAAGGACAGATCCCACATGAGAAGTAAGTACACAGTGACTCCTATTGTTGACTTAACAATTTGACACTCTTGTTTATGGCGTCAGTAATCTCCCTAGGCTCTTGTCATGAGTTGCCAAGGCTATGGAAGCCTTTTGAGTTCACTGACTCTTATCATATTTAGACAAGGTCATAGTCAAAGTGGAAGTTCTCTCCTCCCTTCAGAGAAAGGTACCTCCTTCTTTGATGGCCCCGTTCTTTCCACTGGGCTCTCACTCGCAGAGATCTTTCATTTAGGTCTTCTTCTTCTTCTTCTTTTTTTTTCCAGAGTGTCTTGGCTTTCCATGCCTAAAATACTCTCATGGGCTCTTCAGCCATATCCGAATGCCTTAAGGGCTGATTCTGAGGCCAGAGTGCTATTTAGGACATCTGCCATTCTATGAGTGTGCTGTGTATCCTGCTTCCCATGATGGATCATTCTCTCCCTTTTTGATTCTATCAGTTAGTATTAGCAGACACTAGTCTTGTTTGTGTGATCCCTTTGACTCTTAGACCTATCAGTATGATCAACTGTGAACTGAAATTGATCACTTGGACTAGTGAGATGGCATTGGTACATGCCACCTTGATGGGATTGTATTGGAATCCCCTGGCACGTTTCTAACTCCACCATTTGGAGCAAGTCCGATTGAGCATGTCCCAAATTGTACATCTCCTCCCTCTCTTATTCCCACTGTTATATTTAACAGGAATCATTTTTCAGTTAAAATTTAAACACCTAAGAATAATTGTGTGTTAATTACAGAGTACAACCAATAGTACTAGAACAAAACAAAGCAAAAATACTAAAATGGATAAAGTATTACATTGTACATCAACAGTCAGGACAAGAGCTGATCAAGTCACTGTTTCTCATAGTGTCCATTTCACTGCAACAGGTTTCCCCTTTGGTTCTCAGTTAGTTGTCGCCGATCAGGGAGAACATATGATATTTGTCCCTTTGGGACTGGCTTAATTCACTCAGAGTAATGTTTTCCAAATTCCTCCATCTTGT